GGGGTAGCGGCGCCCCCGGGCCCCGCTCATGCGCCGCGGCCCGGGGGCCGCTAACGGCCCGTTTCCCCCGCAGTGCTCGTCAGCTCCGGGTCCCGGCACGAGGCCAAGTACCTCAGCGGCATCACGCACTTCTTGGAGAAGCTGGCCTTTTCCGTGAGTGCGACGGGCGCGGGGAAAAACGGGCAGAGACCGAAAAGGAAAACCTACACACACATACACAAACTCTATTCCCAAGACAAGTAAAACCCCCCAAAACTCCAGAAAACTGGGTGTCAGCAACCAGGAGCAGGCGAGTAAAAGGCCAGCTCAGCCCTCACGGCAGCCACGTGCATTTGAGCCGTTCACGCTGACGGTGACATTCTTTTGATGGTCACAACAGTGTTCACAAAGTTAACCCCGGTTCCACCCCAGAATGTGCTGCGTGTTCAGCAAACGTTGACTTTGGGGACGAGCCCCAGGCCCGCCGGGCTGTCGTGGGCAGGTCTGGCTCTGCTGCCTCCTGATGCCGCTCTCTTGTTTTCAGTCCTCGGCGCAGTTTGCCAGCAAAGATGAAATTCTCCTCACGCTGGAGAAACACGGGGGCATTTGTGACTGCCAGGCCTCGAGGTAGGGCGGCTTCTTTGTGCACTCTGTTACCTGGAGGGCTGTAGCATTGACAGGAGTTTGGGACGAGTGAGTTTTTGCCTTTGGTGTGTGAGAGCAGAAACAAATCTGCCGTTTGTGGCACCTCCTGGGAAGCCAGGGGAGCGGGTGGAGGGTGTCAGTGCTGTCTCGTGCTCAGAAGCCCTCATGGGGCTGGGCTTTATCTGCCATGTCCTGTAGTCTGCCTAATGCCCCTTGCACGTGGTGCTGCCGCGTGTGCCTGTGTTGCAGGGACACCATCATGTACGCCGTTTCTGCCGACGCCAAGGGCCTGGACACCGTGGTCGCTCTGCTGGCTGATGTGGTGCTGCAGCCCCGGTTTTCAGGTCTGGGAACTTACGGCCCTGTCTCAAAACGGGAGTCCCGAGCCGTGACTTGCTCAGGGGACTTCAGAACTCCTCCGTAGACTGTGCTCACGCAGAAGCTAAAGTTCTCATTTAGCAATTAATGTATTTTGCATGGTGGTCGTTATGTGCTGCTTCCTCTCGTTGTAGATGAGGAGATGGAGATGACTCGAATGGCTATTCGCTTTGAGCTGGAAGACTTGAACATGAGACCTGATCCGGAGCCTCTGCTCACGGAGATGATCCATGCGGTAAAACCCCCCGGAGCTCCCAGCACCCTGGGCGCTTCCCGCTGCGTTCCCTTCCTCAGCTGCAGGGTTTTAGGCTGCTCTGCAAACAGACTGCCCTGCTTATTCAAATAGATTTCAGTGGGAGAGAGTTTTGTTCTCTCTCCATTTTGAAATCCTAGATTCTGTACACCTGAAAGGTTTTGAATTTAAACTAAAACTTACCGTCATTTACATGGGTGACAATATGTTGTTGACTTATGCCGACATAAATGAATTGATGCCCAGCCTGTTCTCTCTTACATGCCTCAGTGAGCTAGGCATAAGTCCGAGATACAAAGAAAGGCTTAAATTGAGGGGAGAGGGTAATGTTTGTTACTTTTAATGCTTCCGCTTCCTTCTAGGCAGCCTATAGAGAAAACACAGTTGGACTGAACAGGTTCTGCCCGGTAGAAAACACTGACAAGATCAATCGGGAAGTTCTGCATTCCTACCTGCGCAACTACTACACGCCAGACAGGATGGTGCTGGCCGGGGTGGGCATCGAGCACGAGCAGCTGGTGGAGTGTGCCAGGAAGTACCTGCTTGGAGTGGAGCCCGTGTGGGGCAGCGCCAGGACCCGGGACGTTGACAGATCTGTGGCTCAGTACACAGGAGGCATCGTGAAGGTGAGAGACCTGCAGCCAAAACTGGCCAGAGCAGCCATCATTTGGGCAGCGAGTGAATAATCTGGAGTTTATCAAGCTGCACACGCACAGCAGTGAATGTCAGTCCTAATAGGTTGTCTTCTCTTCCTACAGGTTGAAAAGGATATGTCAGATGTGAGCCTGGGCCCTACTCCGATCCCCGAGCTTACCCACATCATGATTGGGCTAGAAAGCTGCTCGTTTTTAGTAAGTATCAACCCCACACCCATCATTTCGTGTTCCTTGTGCCTGAAGCACATCCTATCACAATGTTTTGCTGCTGATAGTGCAAGATAGCTTCTTCACAGAGCAAGTCTTTTTGCAAAGCTGGGAAATTTGGCAAAACCAACTATAAATGCCAGAATTTGCTGTCATTCGTATCATTAGCCAGATGCATCTTTGATAAAGACACTGATTTTTTAATACTCCTCTTATGTATTTTTTTCCCTGTCTCTTTTTTTTTCTTCTTCACTGATCCTTGAGAGCCCTACTAAGTCTCTGCTCTTAGCTGACTGAATTTCTCATTGCAATTCAGGAGGAAGATTTCATTCCCTTTGCAGTATTAAACATGATGATGGGAGGCGGCGGCTCTTTTTCGGCTGGAGGGCCCGGCAAGGGCATGTTCACCCGGCTGTACCTCAATGTACTCAACAGGTTTGTTGCTTTTCTGTTGAAGGGATAGCAAAAAGAGGGCCTTCTCCTAGCCTACTCACATGAAAGACTTTGCCCTTTGAAAGCCCAAAATTCCTAGATTTTCTGTCAGCTTATTCTACTTGAAACACATGGGACCGATATGTCAGTGAGCACTTTGAGAGGGTGAAAATAACAGGGCAAAAGTAACCAAGAATCTTGTCTTCCTCCATCAGTCTAAACCATCCTCTGAACTAGGGGATATCATCAAAATTGGCAGTAGATGGCAGTAATCCTGCTCTGTGCTGTTGTCCTTTTGGTTTCAAGGAGGCAAGGAGGGGGAAGACAGTAGATGAGTCACAGGGAAATGTTGGAGGCAGGCACTGATAATCCCCCTAAGCACTGCTGAGAATCCTCCTCCTCCTCAGCCTCAAAATGGGCTACAAGGACTCACTGTTTTCTACTTCTGTGACACCTGAACGTTTGTTTGTGTGTTCCCAGGCACCACTGGATTTTCTGTGACACCTGAACGTTTGTGTGTTCCCAGGCACCACTGGATGTACAATGCGACCTCCTACCACCACAGTTACGAAGACACGGGGCTGCTGTGTATTCACGCCAGCGCAGATCCCAAACAGGTACGGAGCTGGAGCCCTCCTGCAGTCAAAGGTCCTTAAAAAGTAATTTCATTGCTTATTAGCAAATTATAACATGAGAAGAACCTTCATACTCTGAGATAAATTAGTGGCATATGTGTCTATATAGAAAAATCAGTAGGAGCTGAGGGATTCAGGTCACCTGTCAGATAGTCAGTGTACACATTCTGTGTCCCTTACGCATAACTGTAGTCTTAGTAGAATGTTTTAGTTTACTTCAGTGGAGGCTTTTTTGTAACTCTGCAGAACTGTGGGAATCCAACAGAATACTCCCCAATTCATTCAGTTCTTCTCAGCTAGATCTCCAGAGGGAAGAAGTATCTGCTCCTCCTAGCTACTAAACACTTTATACTGCATTAAGAAAACAATTAAGCATTGTTCTAATTTTTTTTGAATTTTCTGTTTCTTCTAGGTTCGAGAGATGGTGGAAATCATTACAAGAGAATTTATTCTAATGGCAGGAGCATTGGGAGAGGTCAGTCACCTACCTTGAAATCTGTGTGGATGGTCTTTGAGCTGAAATACTATATTTTAGCAAGTCCATCTCAAAAATGATTTTTTTGTACAAAAATTTCACGTGTCTGTAAAATAATATAGTCATTTTAGCAATGCATTCACAAAGAGGAGGGCGTTTGCAAAATTCTTAAATGTCCTATATCCATTCATAGCAAATCTTTATTTTAAAAGACCTATTGCTCATTCTTAAAGTCTGGTGTGTGCTAAGAAAAGTCTGTTAATTGTTCCGATACCTTTTTTTCCTTCTCTGACACAGTACATCTAGGATAGAACTCAGATCCATCTCCTTCATGGAGCAGAATCTGGCACTGAAGCCAGCCTGTCCGTTTTCTTCCAGGGAGCGATGGTATCTTGTATCGGAGAGCAGTGGCCACGCTTGCTTCAACACCTGTATTTGTTTCTTTGCAGGTAGAACTTGAGCGAGCAAAGACCCAGCTGAAATCCATGCTCATGATGAACCTTGAGTCTCGGCCGATCATCTTTGAGGACGTGGGGAGGCAGGTGTTGGCCACGAACACAAGGAAGCTGCCTCACGAGCTCTGCGCGCTCATCAGTGAGTAAAGCTGCCTGCCCTTGGCTCCGCTGAGCTGTGGTTACGCTCTGGGAGTGCAGCTCGGAGACGAGACTCGCGCTGCAGATGAATTGCCTTAGAAAGCAGCGTGGTGCAAACACAGACGCGTGTTTCAAACTTGCCTTCCCAACTGCTTGCAGGCTGGTGAAACACTCTTGTTTGACAGAAGGAAGGGAAACGGGCACGGGAGAGAAGGGCCACAGCTAGTGACTGGTGTCTCAAGTCAAAAGAAAAGCCCCAGACCACCTATGAGGAAAGGCTGAGGGAGCTGGGCCTGTTCAGCCTGGAGAAGAGAAGGCTGAGAGGGGACCTGAGTAGGGACCTGAGCAGTGTCTATAAGTACCTCAAGGGAGGCCGTGAGGAGGATGGGGCCGGCCTCTTTTCAGTGGTGGCCACCGACAGAACTAGAGGAAACGGCCACAAACTGAAGCACCAAAAGTTCCACAGGAACTTAAGGAAAAATATCTTATCAGTGAGGGTGCCAGAGCCCTGGAACAGGCTGCCCAGAGAGGTTGTGGAGTCTCCTTCTCTGGAGATCTTCAAACCCGCTTGGACGCAGTCCTGTGCCACGTGCTCTAGGTGACCCTGCGTGTGCAGGGGGTTGGGCTAGAGGTCCCTTCCAACCTTAAGCATTCCATGATTCCATGATTCTGGCAGGTCTTGGGTCAGCCCTGCAGCAAGGCTGCTGCTTGCTGTTCAAAACGTGGTGGTAAGTTCTGCCTTCCGTCCGCAGGTGACGTGAAACCCGCTGACATCAAGCGAGTGGTCACCAAGATGCTTCGGAACAAACCGGCTGTGGCTGCGCTGGGCGACCTGACGGATCTGCCCTCCTACGAGCACATCCAGGCCGCCCTTTCCAGCAAGGGCGGGCGGGCCC